CTTCACATCTGGAGAGGAGCAGTACCCATGGGAAGCTGCTTATGCAGAGGTCACAGGATACATTATTTTTATACCCTTTTTCTAGTTTGATCCAAAAATTTGTCATTAATCCTTCCCACACACCCTGCTTGTGGGGACATGACACTGAAATACACAAGCCAAGTCTTGTGAGATCTAGGAAAGTTTGTGTCTAGGGTCAAGTCTCAGCTCGAGCCCACGTGGACAACTGGTGTAGGACCATGCTATAAATGATGGGAGGTCTTCCATGGGCCTGTAAGCATTACCTGCATGTGGAGCAAGGTGCAGCATTCCCAGCTCTCCACTGAAACATCTGAAATCATTGGTTTTGAAAAGATCTGCAGAGACCTGCTACAAAATTAGGCTTTTAAATCTGAGCATTACATCTACCAGGACCATGACTTCTTCCTGCCGTCGCATGAACTTGCCCAAGGCTGATGCCTCTCTCTGTGCTCCCCCATTGAGTCTTACCCAGCATTAACTTATCTTGAGCTATTACCGTGCAAAATGCCACATTATTTCCTCACTGCCTGGGGCTAGCTCAGGCCTCTCTCCTCATTAATTTATGGCAAACACAGGAGAAAGTGAAACAGGTCAACCACTCACTCGCTGTCCAGGATTTCATGCAACAGGGCACATGCAAGTGCTGCCATTGCAGCGTGAAAACCCAGGCAGGGGCCTCAGAAAAGGAGAGCCTGGGCATGTGCAGACTTTAAGCTCAACACAGAAATGTCTATTTTTTAATTTTTTTAATTATTTTTTTTCCTAGCAAAAAAATAAATCTTTTGTTCTAGTTTTCCTTCATTTAACAGCACTGATTTTTAATGATGTATTGATTGGTCAGCGTGTAAAAAATAGATGAGAAGGAAATACTTCCCCTTGCCTGAATTCCACAGATTTTTGGGGATCTCTTTGCCCCCCCTAAGCAGGAAGAGATGCTGAGGAAGTGATTTTGTAATGCTCCCCCAGGAATGAGGCATGGCTTTACCTGGAATACTGTCAGGATGGCAGCAGGGAAGGTATCAAAATTCGTGGTTGGTGTTTCATCTTGGAAATTGAATCTACAGAGAAGCAAGAAATAAAAACAAGAGCAGGAAGGGACAAGGAGCTCTCACATAGTCTCACAATACCCTGTAAACCAAATCAGAGAGCAACGTTTGTTCCACCTGGCAATAACCCCCCAGGCAACTGCAGAGGGGAACACGGCGTCTCTGAGAAGATGCTTAACAGAACTATTAGCAGAAACTCAATTTTATTCCTGGAGAAAATTCTGATGCTTTGAAATCCAATTTACACTCACAATTAAAATGAGCAATCAAAACCTCAAATGATTTTGCAGAACAAACCATTCCAAGAAGTCTTTGTCCTCAAGTGTAAACGTCAAAATTGACATTGCCCTTTTAGTAGATCATTTCATTTTAATATTTTAAAGCTAAAAGTGATTGACTAAAATAAAAAAAAAAAAAACCACACCAACCCTCATGTTATTTCATTGCAAAAATTTGCTCGAGTTTAAACGGTAATATTGTGATTTTTCTTGCTGCAAAATTCATCACAACTGGCACTTCTAATCCAAAATAACAGATTCAACAAGAAATTCTCCAGCAGAAAAATACTGGAAGTTAATAAGGATGCTGTGACCCTATCTACTGGGGAAAGAATTTGCCTTTCCCCTAACAGCAGAAAAAGTGCTGCCTCCCCCAGTCCTGTTCCAGAGGTCTGGGTGGACATGGTGACCACAGAATGACATAGAAGATTTGAATTAGGGTAACTAGAAAAAAAGCAGCTCCAGGTAGAACATGAGAACAGGAATTATTTTCCTATACACCAGGAGCCATTTCTCAGCAGCCCAAAAATACTGACATCTACACCCACAATGTGAATCCTCCCAGCCCCACAGCCCCTCTCTCCCTTATATACTCTAGGTGATTGCTTTCAGATTGCCCCAGAGAGATGATTAATTAGACTTACTGTCCTCCAAAGAGCTGCATCCCCAGCAAAGCAAACACCACAATGAACAGGAACAGCAGGAAGAGCAAACTGATGATGGACTTCATGGAGTTCAGCAAGGAGACCACCAGATTCCTCAGGGAATTCCAGTACCTGCGATGGAGATCAGAGCAGCCAAGAGGTAGCATGAGTGGGAAAAGAGTCCTTGGTGAGAAACTAATATGGTCTGTCCCCTTATTATAAAAAGGAAAAGAATGGCAAGAAATCTCAGCATCTTTAAAGTCTCCTCTGTGACTGGAAAACACGGTTCACTGAGGGGCAAAATCTCTTGTAGCATCACAAGGGCAGAGGTGGTCACCTCGGTGCATGTGCCCCCACGGAGAGCAGTCAGCTGCAGTGGAAGTGTTTGGTTTATTTCCTCAATAACCCCTTTCCCAATACAGATTTAGACCTTTCTGCATCTTCTCATCCAGCATGGCAGTTAGCAGGGGTGTCAACAACAGGGATATATTGATACCATCAAGGTGAGACTGAGTGTGGGGACAGTGAACTCCTCCCTCTGCAAGACAAATCACAGAATCCCAGAATGGTGGGGTTGGAAGGGACCTCTGGGGTTCATCTTGTCCAGTCCTCCTTCTCCCATAGGGTCACCCACAATTGTGTCTAGGTGGGTTTGGAACCTCTCTAGAGAAAGAGTCTCCACAACCTCTCTGGGCAGCCTGCTCCAGGGCTTTGGCACCTTCACAAGAAAGAAGTTTCTCCTCAGGTTCAGGAATAAACAGCACATTTCCATCAGGACATCTCTGCAATATGTCCTCCCAACCTACCAAGCACCAGTATCCACAAGTGGACTGAAACTCCCACATGTTTTAAGACTCCTGTGATGTTTAACACACATTCACACGCAGCGATGCTTCAGGGTGAGGCGAATCAGCCACAATTTCAGCATCCAGGACCCAGCAACTGCCTCAGAGGATGAGAACAAACCTGGGATGTTAACTCCAACGTGGCAAGAGGAAATAGCTCAGCCTGAATCCTGACACATCCAAGTCAGATGTGGCCAGATCCTGAAGCTGGTTTGGTTTCATGTCCCCTGTTGGCTGGGACGGGTCCTGGCACGCTCGCAGGCAGGCACTCGGGGTGACAGCGAGCAGGGGAGGGTGCTCAGAAACAGCTCTCCTCCCTGGCTTTATTACCCTGCTGAGACTAGGCAGGGAGCACTCATATTAGGAAAACTAATGAATCAGAAAATACAGAAAGAGCTTTTAAGCAGCAGAGCTCTTTGGCAATCTCCTTTTGGACAGCCAGGCAAGTGGAACAGCAGGGCTGGAGCAGGCTGTAAGAAACGAGTGATTTAGAGCTATTTCACGTGTCCTCCCTTGAAAGTTTTGGGTCTGAGACCATGATTTTCTCTTCTTCTCCAATGGCTTCTCTCATTTCTACTGCCCAGCCCTGGGAGGTCCCATCCAGAGGCTGCTCTCCCCAGCAGGATCCTCTGCCATCCTGCCCTGCAGTTTTGGGGAGAGACCCAGGCACTGAGCTCCTTCCTGCAATGCAGCTGTGGGTGTCCAGCAGAAGCCTGTGGATTTGTCTGATCTGCTGATGGGGAGAGAAGCTCAGAGCTTGCATCAGAAGAGCAGAAACACCATCCTTTCTCTTTTCTTTGTCTTCATTTTCTTCATCATCCTTCCCCCAGGTGTAGCTGGGAGTACAGAAACAGCCCACATGTCTTTGTGCTGAGGTTGATACAGGCACATCCCTCCCAGGAGAAATGGGACCTTGCACTCCCATTGCACCCATTCCAAGAAGGGTTATGTCCATAGTACAGTGACAGAGCTTTCAAGAAAAACTTTGGTCTCTCAGGAGAACATCTTCAGTTGAAGAAGTCACAACCAAACCTACTCAGGGTCAGCCCCTAAGGAAAATGGACTGAGCAGCTTTCCTTGGAGAAGGAGGAAGGTTTTGCTGACCACACAGCTCTTTCCTGCTTGGCACAAGGGCTCCAGCCAAAATCTGCCACAAGTAAGGGTTTCACCCCTTGCAGTTAACACAACTGGACACAAAATGCATATGGAGGCATTGCCTTGTCCTGGAACAGCTCAGCACCAAACCCTGCCTGACCACAGAGCTCCAGGATTTAATGAGGAGTTGCATTTCTACAGCTGCCAGTCCCCATTCAGTTCTGTCATGACAAAGAGGCAATGTGTGAAGCTGTTCTCTCCTGGTCCTCCCTGCTGAATTTTAACCCCTCTTAGGCATCAACCCCTCCTAGGGCATCCTGCCATTATCTTTCAGGCAGGCTGCAATTTAACTTTTTAGCTATTGCCTTGCTCTGCTCTCTGCAGTCCCTCTGATTTGGGACTTAGGAATCAAAAGGTGTAATACCATCAATTATTCAAAGCAGGAGAACTGCAACTGGTTTCTGTTAAACAGAGAGGCAAAAAGACCCAAGGCAAGGAGCTTCAGAGAAAAAATTGTTAGAACCCACAGTCAGGTACACTAAACCTCAGTAGCTCTGGATAGAATCAACTGCTGACAATGAATTGCTATGAATTTGCTGCAAAACCTGGAGTTTGCCATAAATAAGTGCAAAGGTGGACTAGAGTGACATTCCTGGGGCAGTCACCCACCTGTTTTGCTGGACATTTACAGAACTTAATGTTTTCAACCCCTTTGTCCCACGGTAGAACAAACACAGCATCATATCTGCACAATGATTAATAGATACAAATCAGCAAACCCTCCAGAGCTACCAAAACCTCTGTGCCTGGATAGCTGTGAAAGCACCTGATCAATTCAAACGCCTGTTTTGCTCAAAGGTGCTTTATCTATTTGGGCTGGTTGGGGTTTTTTTGGAGGGAAGTGATATTCCTCCTTTTGTTACTTCATGTCAAGAACAAGTAAGGGTGATGGGAAGAGGGGAGATCTGCAGAGCTAATGGTATAAAACGGTGTTAAAAGAGTGGAAAACAACAGCAGGAGCACCTAAATATGTCATGAATTTCCACACCACAACTCTGAAATCCTGCAGAAACTGCTCTAGATGGATTTACAAAATGCACAGTAGCTGTTTGCTAATGCCAGCACACATTAACACCGTGCAGAGCCATGAAAACAACTGAAAAGCTGTGACAACCCAACTCCAGGGAAAATTCAGCTTCCCAGGTCACGACTGAAAACCTCAGACACACCCAAACCAGGCACAGCAGCACACTTCATCTTTGTGTCAACACAGTGGTTTGGGCACCAGGATTCAGTGTCTGGCAATTACCTTGTCCAGTTGTACAATTCCTAAATACTCAAGGAGCTGTCACCAGATCTCTAGCAGGTAAGGACAGTGGGGAGTTGATGTGGCTTTGAAAATTAACTTTTTTTCTCCTAGTACAAGGAATAAAGGATCACATCACAAGAGTTTTTTTTAAGCAAGCCTAAAAACAAAGATAGGATGTTCTTCTGCAGCTCATCACTACACTGTGAAGCCCTCAGCCCAAGGGTGGACAATCCTGTACACGGGGCTGGGGAGAGGGCTGGTAAAAGTCCTTGTGGATGCAAATACAGGCTCAGGAAGTTCCTCAACTTGCAATGGCCAGAAACTGCAATTGCCCAGCCAAAAGGCAATCCTACATCTGCAGTTTTTGTCTGCGCTTGCCCCTCATTAGGGCCAATGCAGACATAAGTTATCAGAACAGACAGGATCTTTGTGCCAGCTTGCACAGGAGTTTTTGGGGAGTGTTTTTTGGTGGTTTAATTTATTAATTTTTGGGGTTTTTTTTACACAGTTGTGGAAAACACTACTCCTTTTTGTGAGGCCAGTGGTACAGATTTCATAGGGTGCTAAAACTCTCACGTGAGCAGAAAAGGAGCTGGACTTACTTAGTGACTTTGAAAATCCGCAGCAGTCGGAGCGCTCTCAATACGCTGATGCCAAACGAGGTCCCTGGTTTCACTGCAGCCCAAATAACTTCAAATATACTTCCCACAATGACCTGCAAGAAGAGCCCATTTTACATAAGGCAAAACATCTGTTTAGTTCTTTGCAGTGCTTCCAGAGAGGCTGAGGACAGAGCAAGAATCAGAGCTTGGGCTGTGATGGTTTTCTTATGAAGGCTTCAGGAAAATCATGAATGAGCCAAAACCACTAAAAAAACTTGTTCCAACTTTCTGCAGTCCAATCTGAAAAAGGGCAATGCCTAAAGGTAGGACTGACACTTAGGAAAACAGATAAGAACCTGTTGCTTTCGTCCCCTACAAGTAATCTACCTTAAAGTAACCTTTTCTGAAGGACCTGCAGAGATGCAGGAGGACACTGCCCCAGTCTCCCCTTCTCATTAGAAGCCCTGAAAGTCTCCACCCGCAGCACTACAGAACAGTAAAACATGAGCTCTGGGCAAGATTACCAGAAAGTTCTTGCAACTGAGAGTCTTTAGGAGAGTGATTAAGGTAACAGCTGCTAAGAGCTGCAAAACCTCCATCAGGCACACCCTGAATGTGCTCAGCAAGAAATGGTGTACCCTGAGCTTCCAGAAAAAGTGTTGGGAAAAGGAAACACACAACATTTTTTCACCCAATTTCTCCCATCAGAAAAAGAAGGAACTAAAACCTCTCATACAGTCCTTCACTCTTGGGAATCCCTCGTGAATCAGCAAAAACCTTTCCTTAGACCCTTCACTTATCACACTGATAATTAATTTTCCTGGCATCTTCACATGGCCTCCTGGGAGCTTGTTTCACATGAGACCCTACTAGACTGTTTCTCCCCAGACTGATGTTGCTCTGATTTGTTGTTTCATGTTTTGCATTTGAACAGTTTCCTCTTGATGGTTTGTCAGACTAAACTGACTGCAGATCTGTGTGATGTTCCAGTGGGGGTGAAGTAGCCAAATTAATTCTGGGGGCTAGAAGATGGGTGAGGAGGAAGAAACATAGACAGAAGTAGGATCCCTATGGATTCTCTAGGAAGGAAGAATTAGAAACAGTTCAACAGCTTTATCTCCTGGGAAACATCCAGCAAAGCTTATTGCTAGTGCTGCACTCACCAGAGCAGGACACAAAGCAGAGAGACCTGGTGCTTAGTCCAAGCTCCTAAATCACCCATCCCTGGCTATCAAGTACAAGCTCTTCTTGTTGTGGAAAAAGCATCATGGATATGAGGATCCAGGGAAAGTGTCAACCACCATGGGGGCAAGGTGTCTGCAGCTCAAGCCTACCTAATCCATCAGTGAAGGACATCAACTAAGTGTGTCACTAGACTACATAAACAAGGCAATGACTAATTAGACAATAATGCTGGGCCACCAGAAGTCTTTCACTCAGCTGACAGGATCTTAAGCATGCACTGAACTTGATAAAAGCTGGATCCCCTCCTTGTATCCTGTGGGCACACTCTTCTTTGCAGGTCCTTTGTAGGATGTCTTGCCAGGACACCTTGCAATGGCTTGGCTGCCTTCAGCTGAGGGGAGCTTCTCCACCTGCCAGATTAGATGCCAACTCTGAATGTGCAGACATGCAGCTATCTCACATTATCTGTGTTATTTGAGCTCTGATTTCCTCTCATGACAGTCTGTGCCTTATCCTTTGGGCTATGCAGCCAGGAAGAGCAGCACGAGGCATTTCAATGCTCATGGAGCCACCAGCTCCATGGACACCCCAGAGGGAAAAACCTCACTCTTGGTGCAGCCTGATGCAACAACACATCAGTCTGTTGGACTCTGTTGATTCTTGGGATGGGTGGTTTAATCTCAAAGATTATTTAGCTCTAAGCTGTCCGGCTGACACTGCCAAAAAAAGAAGTTGGCTCTACCTGTAGTCTTGGATTTAGGAGTGGTCACTTCCTGAAGGTCAGAATACTTCCTCCTCCCTTGCAAGGCAGGGAATTTTGCTCCATGGGGGAGAAAAATCACTCCCAGAACTTTGGCAGATCAAGGCTAGAAACAACAGACTAAATCTTGGAGAGAAGGGCTGGATGATGCACCCAATGACCTGAACTGTTTTCCTCTGGACTGTAGCTGTATTATGAGCTCTTATCTGGTTTGTGTCATGTCCTACAGACCCATTAAGATGCAGTGCTCAGCCACACTAAAGGTAAAGAAAGGTGAGTTAAGCTCTTTGAGGACAGATTACAGCCTAACAGCTTTTAATGAATAAATTAACATTTGCATGCAATGCTCTTTTTTAGAGGAGCCCAAACTGGCCCCACTATTCCACTATTCATGTGTCAAAGCTGTAGTTTGAGCACAAAGGGGAGAGCCTGGACTTCTGCAATGAAAGGATGAGAGTTATCCCCTGATCCTGTTTAGAGTTCTGCTCCTGGGCACCCACTTCTGAAAAGCACTGCCTGTGTATCTTGAGGTAAAGGCCATTAAATGGATGGTAGGAGAGATGAGCAACAAGATGTGTGGGTTTTTTTTCTGTCTTTCAATCACCTCATTTAAATGGCAGAGAGGATCTCTCAGTACTAAGAGCATTACCCGTGCTGATGCTGTGAACACCCTGTAGCTTGCTGAGGAAATTAAATCCCCAGCTGTCACAGCTCTTTAAAAAAGATGATAACTGTGGGAAGCTTAACGTGTGCCACTGCAGCTAATGCATCCAATGACTCCCCTCAAAAGACACAGTTACAGCACCATTTCCCATGGATTCCCCTCTTCACCCTTTAACATCCAACCCCAGTGAATAATTCAGCTGAACCCTACTCACCCCGAAGTCAAAGCAGTTGAATGAAGAATGGAAGTAATTTCTTGGCCCCAGCCCATACATCTTCAAAGACATCTCAGTGAGGAACAGACCCAGGAAAACAAACTCTGCGAAGTCTGGAAACGGGAAGAGAGATTCAATTAGTCCACAAGACCTTGGTAGGCAGATCTCTTCGTGTGGGGAACAATGGTAATTTTTCACAACACAGGCTGCCTTCTGCCAGCAGAAAATCCCTTTGTGATGGCAAACAACACCCCGAGGACAGTTCCACATAATGACTTCTATATGCACATGAACTGTATTCAACCTTCAAGAGCTGTGAAGGCAGTGTTTCATGTGTACTGGGGAAGGTGGGTGTGAGCATTAAATAATATTCACATCCTCTTTGTAAAGAAATTTCAAAAGAAAACTCTAGATCTAATATTTTTAAAGGTCTAATTTAATTGCACAGATCATGTTTTACAAAGGTAGGTTTGGGACTTGTGTGCCTACGTGAGATGGGCACTTTTAGGAACGAGGTGTAAGCTTTTGTAACCTCCTCTCAGGATAAAAATACCTTCCTACCCAACAGAAATGAGAAGAACTCACATTCAGAGGTGTTGTGTCTACTCTTAGCACATAGACACATTTATTTTTATTATGCCTGTATAACCATACAATTATGGGAGAGTGAGTTCTGTTTCCTTACGCTTCATATATCACAGGCAAATAGGCTGTGAAGCTTTTGATGGGGAAATTTATCACCTATGATGAAACAAAGGGCAGAAGGAACATAGCTGGAGACTTTGATTTCCAAATCAAGTTTTGAGGACTTGGAGCTACAGAAAGTACTGCCTTTGGCATTTTAAGTCACAGCAAGTTTAGATCTGGAGGCCAATAAGCAACAGCGACAAAACAAACACAAAAAGGGCAAAAAACATCTACACTACCAAAACAAACCAGACAGCATAAGGCAAACCTCTCCCCCTAGAGAAAAGATGAGGAAAATAATCAAACTTCAAAGGGTGGAGATTAATCACATTGCTTAGCATAATACAGAAGGCTCTTGGATGCTGTAGCAGCACAGACACTACAGGGAAGTTGTCTTCTGCAATTTCAGTCTTATGATACCAGGAATAGTAAAGACAAGATGGTGCCAAACTTTTCTCAAAAATACACACAAACGAGGGGCAACAAACACAAGCTGAGAGAAGGAAAATTCCAGTTAGATGATCCTGAATCCCAGGTGTACATCTCCTGCAGTATGTGGCTTCTGCTACCACAGAGCTGCCATAGGGGGGATAGAGGAGGGAACAAGGGTCCTTCCAAGCTGCACAACTTTCAGTCCATTCACTGCCTTGCTCACCCGTGGTGAGTGAGTGTGGCTGGCCAGAGTCCATCTCACATTGCTGCTTGTCTTTGGAAATGGCTTGGAAAAGGCTGCTTCAATTATCAAAAAATAAAAAGAGGGTTTAAACTTTAAATGAAAGGCAGCTATGAAATATCAAGCACATAACGTTAACTGAAATCCAGGAAGCATTAACTAGATGGGAAAGGTTTTATTAACACTTCAGTGAGGAGCCTACAAGGACATTTCTGCCAACATCTGCAGGAGGGGAGGAAATACCAGGCGGGTATTAATTATACCATGTAAAATACTCTCCTTGAAAACAGGACATTTTCCTAGTAGGAAATAGGAGCAATATCATTAAAGGAGATTATCAAGGACAAGATGTTCACATCTGAGGAATAAGAGGACAAAGTGTGGGGTCTATGGACTTCTTTTCTGACAAAGAAGTAGAACCATCCACTGGATCTCAGTGCCCAGAAGAAGGCATGGTCACATGGTGGAGCAGCACATCCCCATCTCCCTCTGAGCCTGGAACTTGCTAGGAGAAGCATATTCATACCTGCACCATGCTACAACCTTTCTCTCCTTTCTGACATCAGGCACAACAGCTCAGTGAGCAAACAGTTGTTTCCAGCACAAGGGATCCCAGAGTAGGGAGTTATCCACAGTTACCCTGGCAACCCATCTGCCTATACGAGCACAGAAGGTGCAAGAAAGGATCTGGGTGAACCAATATCAGGCATAAAAATGAGATGGCTGACAAATCCAATAATATAAAATTATTATTAAAAAGATTGCAGCTGTGAAGTAGTAAGATTGTTAAAATCTTTGATTATTAATAGCTGGCCCTGTAAATCAGATGCTCATACTAGCTTCCACACCAGACCCTGAACTTCCATTCTGCACCCTATGGACTTTGGAAATGGCAAGAAACTCCCCCAGTAAGATGACAAAGAAAGAAAAACTCACCCAATAAAGCACCTCTGGGCGTGGAAGAATTTGTGCTGCTGCTGTCACCCCTTTAAGCCATTAGCCCAGAGAGAAAGCTTGGACCAGCATTTGTGCTGCCAGGAGTCTCTCCCTTGCTGGGAAGTTATCACTCCCATCTTCAGTTTCAGCTCGGCAGAGCTCAGCAAGCTTATTGGAATGACTTCAGTGTGGTCTCCCTATCACAAGGTTTGATATGAAGCCAATGCTTTGAAACTGGTGGGTTTGCTTGGTTAGCAGATGAAAATTGAAATTGGAGGGAGGGGTTGTAGAGCAGACCCACAGAAGGCATTGCACAGCCTCCACTTGCTTCAGCGTCATACTGCCAGGGAGATTCTTATCCTCTTATCCATCCACCAGACTCACCTTCGAGAGCTACATTTCAAATACGCCCACTGTTCTTTCACAGAATTACAAAAATACCAGGTAGGGGTTTTCTACTGTAATTTTCACCACAGATCTCAGCACACTTTGCCAAGACAACTACCGTTGTTGCAGAAGAAGAAAAAGGAGGAAAGAAACCAGGATTAATGCTCAGTCACCCATCCAGCAGCAGGAGGAACAAGAACCAAGTATCAACAATTGTGTGCAATGCTTCATCATTGGACTGGCACCTCCTGCAAACACACATGCAAATATGGAATATCACAGGAGGGGGAAAAAAAGCAAAAGGCCTAACTAAAACAGAATCAAGAAATATTTGATTTAAAAAAAACCACAAAACAACAGGAAATGTTAGAAACTCAGAACATCCAAGAAACAACTTCTTTCTGCTGCTCTTGAAAGAACCACCTAACTTGTCTTTTCACAGCTGATAACTTTCATCCAGATGAGAGCTCAAACCAGGCAGCACCAGCTATATTTCAGCAGGTACCAGATGCTACAAATCATAGCACTGTGAGGACAAGGGGTGGAGGCAAGGAAAATATGGACATAGTGAACTCCTTGGGCAGAAGGAACTGACTTGGCATGAATCAGCTTCTCCGGGGGACGGATCAGAAACACAATTTCTTCTGACATGGCTCTGCCTGGATAATTGAAAATGTAATTTCATTGTTTGGACCTCCTGGTATTCAGACCTCACATGTAATTTAATCTGCCTTAAGCAGAAGCATTTTCTAATGTGATTTAAAGAAAGAAGTTTGATACAAATACTCTAATTTCAAATCTGTGCTATTGGCAGAGGCCACGAGAGCATCTTTTTGCCCCATACGTTTGAATTAGATAGTTAGTGGCTCTTTTTTGTCAATCACCCAGGGATTAATTCCATTTCTGCTCCATCTCCTGGTTCAAGGTCCTGAGTCTGACACTTCAGTTTCCTCTCCTCATTGCCCTCATGCATTAAACCAACCAGGAGGAGAAACCTCATTGAAGTACAGCTTCCTCCTCTGGCAAAGCAGATGTGAAATGTTCAGCAGACATAACTAAACATGCTCACTTCAGAAAGCCTTTTCCTCAATGCTGCATAATTCTATCTGAAGGGAGCTGCCTGTCTACTTCAAAGGCAAACACAACATCATCAAAAAAGGGTGAATTGCACCAAAGACATGGTTCAGCATTGCATGGCACCCAGGGGAGGCATTCTCAGGCCATAATGGCTAAAATACTGTTTTCAAATATTGTCTTCATCAGGAAGGAGACAATCTGGATCTTGGTTTTAGATGGATATCAGGAAGGAGACAATCTGGATCTTGGTTTTAGATGGATATAGATTTAGAAGCAAGTTAAGGATCACTGTAGCAGCAGCTGGAGAAACAGAGAGAGAGCTGCTCGTGAAGGGCAGCCACAGGGGAAGGGAAACTTGATGAGAGGTCTCCCAAGTAAATCTTATTGATTCAGTCCTAAAACCTTCTCACCATGGTCTCTAAAGCCCACCCTGAAGAAACCAGAGAGCTCTGGTTCTAGCATTTGTCTCCAGCTTTAGCCAGAGGAAGAGGAGACTACCACCAGGCTTCCAACTTCTGCTCAGTCTACAGCATGAGCTTTAAAAGGACACAGTCCTGACTGAAACCCCCTCAACATCTTCATCTGCACTCCGTGCCCAGATTATTGATTTTATTGGATGTTTGCCCTCGGTCGATGGTGCTGAGATCTTTACTGCTACTAGATCTCAGGGATGCTTTCTAGGCTAGATTACAGGGTCATCTTCTGGCAGAAGTCTCTTCCTTCTGGGAACACAGGCAATGGTGGAAACTAGCACAAACAGATTATAATCATGGGTGGCTGAATGAAATATATACTTTTATAAAGAATTGTTACTTATTTAACCCCAGGTCCATGCTTCAGTGAGCACATGTCCATGCTTCAGTGGGCAGTATGAGAAAACTCCTATTGCAATTTAGCACTACACTCCTTTCCACACAGAGAAGGAAAATCTCTGATTTAATTTGGGGGTAATTACAGGGGCAGAAAGTGTGTCCTGTTATTCATCATACCCCAAGAATTCCATGAATTTCTCATCAACACTTTCAATAAAACTAAAGAAATCCCAAGCCCCTTTTAAAGCTCCTACAGTTCCTTTCCAAAGCAGTTGTAGCAATATGGAATATCAAGCAGAGAAAGCTAATCAGAACAATTCAAGAACAGAGAAAGTTAAAATAAGAAGACCAAGGGAAAAATAAATCAATGCAGACCCGGAGGCTTTTATCAACTGTTCTTTAAGTAAAATTAATTTGTAATGTAATTAAACTTTTCCCCAGAGGGGTAGGTATAATTGAATTAGAGGTGCCTGGCTAGATTTTCAGGGTTTAGCAGATCCTCCCAGACTTCACCACACTCCTCTCCCACTGCTACAGTTCACAAAATTCCTCATCAGTTCATTTCTAAGCACCTCCCATGGAAAAGCATCATTAGAATTGGCTGCTTCTCCCTTTGTTCTGCATCAGACTAGCCAAGCCCTGCTCCTCTGTAGCGAGGTTCACTTAGCAGGGATTAACTAAAGCCATTTTAAACTCCATCACTCTTACAGTTAAAGGATTTTGCCAAGTATTCCCAGGAGCTGTTAAAAATCCCTTGGTTTTGTGTTATCTTGTTCTGCCTATATCTAATGGATTTATGCACAAATCTTGGGCAGACCAAGGCTTTCAAGGAGCACTTCTGGAGGGATGAACCATAGTTGGGCTTGTTCACAAACGTGGTTTCTATAGCTCATCATCCTGAAAGGCTGAGAGGGTTGGAAGTACAGGACTCCTGTAACTTAAGAGGTTGAACTGGTAACCCTTTTCAGTGGACAATTCTCAGAAGTTCTTTGTTCTAAAATTATATTAAAAAAGGTTACTTCCCAGAGTTTCCATTACACACTGCCATATGACAGACTAGAAACAATCCTTCCCAGAAAGAACTCATGACATCTCTGCTGCTTCTCTTGGAGAAAACTATCTTTGAAAATAATAATAATAAAATAAACAATAAATAAATCACCACCAACAAGAGAAAAATATGTAGAATATCTTAGAATTTCCATGATGACCATTCATTATACATCTCTGGATTTTCTTCTTTGTATCAGGGGGGCTAATGTTCTACCACTCCATTTAAAGACCCAATGCTTATACCTATACAAGGACATCTACAAAATCCATGATTCCTCAAATATTCTGGGTTTGTCTGTGACCCACCTCTATGTTGTTCCTCAACAGTTACCGTGCTGTTTTTAGCAGGGTTTATCTGTAGACAAGAGCATTTGTGAAACACACGTCCAGGCGTTTCCTTATCGACAAAGGACACTCAAGTCTTAGAAGAAATGGCAGCACAATGATGCAAAGACATACAAAGGACAGATGAGCCAAAGGAAAGGACCTATGGCTGGGAGAATGCTAAGGATTCAACTCACCAGAAGACATGTTTTTTTGGTGTTTTTCTGATTTCTCCATTAAAAATTAGTCATAGGGATCACTTCTTCTTAACTAGGTGGTACCCTAGCACCAAGAAATTAAAGTATGGTACCCAAGTGTTTCTAGAAGTACCTCACAGTACTGGGTGTTATGGACACGTGCAGAGCTGGAAGAAGGATCCACTCCAACCCCTGTCCCAGGCACAACACAATTTCAACCTTCCCTATTTTTCATCTTCAGCTGAGGTAGGTTGGAAGCCTAAACTGTGGCCTCTGTCCCGGATCCATTTTCCTCCTGGAGATGTACCTTTAATTCTAATCAGCTGAGACATCCCTTCCAGCTCTCATGTGAACATTAGGCAGACATTGCTGTCTCATGGAATCCTTTATGTTCTCTTGGAAAAGTTACAGCATAAGGTGTTCCCAAAAGTCAGTTTGTAAATCAGAGCTGCTTTTTTGAGTTGAAAGACTTTAAGAGGGCTGGCTGATTTTTTTTTTTTTTTTAATATTTTTTTAAAAGACATTTAGCCCCAGTTCAAGAGGAAATCCTAAGCTTCAAACTTCTAATTACTCTGCTAACCTATCTTATTATTTCCTCTTTTAAATTCTGGAAATTAATAAGCAAGACTGACTTCTCTGGGTCTCTCTTTTCAGTCTAAATCTTGGAGGGGGGAACCCACCAAACCAAACCCAGAGATGAAAGTAATTAACGTCTTTCTTATGCATCTCTTATTATAGCTCTAGTTACCTGGTAGTATTAAATATTTCAGAAAACATTAAGAGGGTTTTATTTGAAGCCAGAGCAGCTAATATTCTTGACCTTTGAGGTCAAAAAGAAAAAACCTAGAACTTCAAAAGTTTGCTTCCCTGCAATAAGGTAAGACCTAAGGATCTAGAGCTAGAAATATTGAAGTACCTAATTTATCTAGAAATCAAGAAAAATCAGATAGATAAGTATCTTTAATGATCTAAACCAACATTGTTAGAGTTTTTGAAATATTTGTTGGGGTTTTTTCCCAGTCTTCTGTCCACTTGCTTCAGAAATTTTACTTAACACATTTTGAACCAGCTACATCTGAATATCAAGAGCTGAATGAAAAATTTGTTCCTGGCTGTTTTACAGAGTCAGAAGTGGCCACTCTGCCTTCTAGAGACAAATTTTTTGATGCTGAGGGTGGTGAGAGCCTGGCCCAGGTTGCCCAGAGGGGTGGTCAATGCCCTATCCCTGGAACCATTCCAGGTGAGGTTGGATGGGGCTCTGGGTAACCTGCTCTAGTTGCAGATGTCCGTGCTCCCTGCAGGGAGGTTCAACTAGAAGACCTTTAAAGGTCTCTTTCAACTCAAACCCGTGATCCCAGGGACACCAGAGCAGGCAGGCCTTTAAGTACATCCACAACAGAAACCACCTGTGGGTGCAGATCAGTTGCAAAGCAGGATGAATTCTCTGGGCAGATGTTGATAAGACAGAAATCTGCCTTTAATCAAGCACAGAGTCATTCCCTCTCCCTTCCTAAGTCCTGCTACAGAACAAATGCCCTTGCTGTGTTACAGGATTCAGATGGGGTTGAATCTGAAGGTTCAGAGAACATTTAGGATAACATTCCCATCTCAAAACAGTATGTTCTGGTGGACTTCTTCTGAATTGTACAACTGGATTACTCTTGAGTTTCTGGAGTCACTCATTAACGCAGTTCTGACCCCATAGGGAGCCAAAACCCAGACCTCATGAGGTTGTGACAGTAGTGCTCAGAGCAGCCAAAAATGCAAGCCCTTGTTAGAGGAAGGAGGAGTCCCCAGTACTCACAGAGAGCAGTGGTGAGCTTCTCTGGCTGGTCATAGTGCACCATGGCGACACAGAGCGTGTTGAGGGCCACCACGCAGAGGACAACCCAGTAGAAGCTCTGAGCTTTCACCATGCGCCGAATGAAGAACCGGAACATCTTCTCTTTCCTCCTGAAGTAGGATGAGCTCTCGTTCTTCCCACTCTTCAAACTGGCACGGGCAAAAGGAGACCCTGGGACAGAAAGAAGAATGACTACACCACATCCCGACAGGCTAAAGGCCAGAGGACGTTCCTGGGCACACAGACCCTTCTCCCAAGAACCAGCAACACAGCTGAGCAGAAAGCTGGGCACACTGACCATGGGCTGAGCAAGGGCATCTTGCTTGCAATGACATTGTGAGGGATGCAGGCTGGGATTTGGCAGCTTCATGAATGAATGCCCAGCTCCACCATCTAACGAAACTGGGCTTCCAACCCTTTGAAGGAATCTTGTTTGTCCCAGTTTTTGGGTTCTGGGAACCCATAGTTTTTAGGTTCCCAGTGGACTGGAGGGACAGAAAGTGTCATTCACAATTGTACTTCTGCCCGTGGTGTAGAGCACATCCTCTTGGAACTGGGTACCTGGTAAGAGGAGAGGTGGTCTCTCTTTCCCCTGATCCAAGGGCCAAGCAAGGGCCCAGCCCTTCCTACTGAATTGAGTCTCCTTATTTTACTCACTCTCCAACTTCATCTATTTCTACAGCAGAGGGCTCAACCTGCAACCACAGATCATATTTTGGGCACAACTTCTCATTTGTGCCAATTCTGCCTACATCAGCTACCCTCCGACTCTGGCCTGAAACCCTGGAAAAGAGTCAAAAATTTTTAACAATAGGAAGCTGACAGAAGAAATTCTTTCTGATGTAAGCTCTCCCCCTCTGGTAGCAGGCACTGCTCAAACAGATGACGACAGGGTTCTCTCCAGCCAGTGCTGAGTCAGGAGAAATCAGCACACGTTGGTACTAAACACACGTGTCCATTGGAGCCCCTCTGCAGCAGCCACAGGCACTGTTGCAAGCAGGGAAAATCGTGACTGCCACAGGCTGTCCACTACCTGCTCCACACTGTGCTGGCACCCCTCCAAAACTGCCAGCCAACTTTGCTTCGAGATGGTTTGTGATAAAATAAGATGCTATTGCCTGTCATGGGATGGAGCATCTCAGGTGTCTTGGCTCACCAGGACGCACCATCCTGTCTTTGACCATGGAGAGGATGACTTCCATGGGCTGTCACTGGACGTGGCTGAGTTACATGAAACAAGTGTTCTGGCTGCAGCAGCCAGTTTTTGAGTGTGTTCACTTACAATTTAACACTTGGAAGGGGTGGGGATCTCACCCTTTTTCATCCTGTAATAATATCAAACACAGCACCCATAGAAAGGATGAAGCATCCAGATGTGACAGCAATGGGTTCTCTAAGCCCCATGGCTACATGGGAGCACAGAAAGAAAGCTCTCTACTCCATCTCACATATCTGGCCATCCACCAACATGCCAAATGCAGAGCTGGCCCTAGCCAGGCATTGAACAAGCTCCTTGCAGAAAAACTCTGTGGGTTGGTGTCATTAGTTTGATAATCCTCCTGTCAGCAGTTTAAAAATAAATAAATAAAAAAAATCACAGTGCTCATCTAATTGCTTTAAGACAATAAAAAGAGTCAGAGTTTAAGATAAAGGCTGCACCATATCATAATGCTGTTTAGCAGGTAATGACCTCTCAGATTTTCAAGCCATTAAAATCTGTATACTCAGATTTTCATGGGAATAGTCTGCTGCCTTTTCATGCCCTCTCTACTGGCTCTGATCTTCCAAAAAAGAAAAGCAGTAGTATTTAGACTGATAGAAAACATCCACTTCTTCAGGCTTTGCTCTCTGGCAACTGAGTGTCCTGTGTCTGGTACAGCACAGAGGGTTCAGCCAGAAAAAGCCAGCACCTACTACTGCATGCTTATTAGTGTGGTAAGGAAGGCTGAGAGCTGGGAGGAAAGAAAAGAATGTTAAGAACAACTCCAGAGAACACACCAGGAAGTGTTTACCACTGTGGAGCTTTATAATGCAATTATAAGGCTCATCGAGGTACTTGTGTTTGAATTAAAGTGCAAGGTATTCAGCCAACAGCCAGCCAGAGACCTGTCAGAGTCTCTACCACTCTGGTCTGCATCTGCACGTGGCGTTTAGCAATTAGATTGTTAGTTCTTCCACCCTCCTTATGCTCCATCAGCAAAACGTTATAGAAACCCATCAAAAAAAAACTTTTCTCAAAAACATATTCTTGCTGCATAATTGCCCATCTGATCTGACTGTTTGTGTTCTGTCGAGTTTCAGCCTTTTCAGGAGCCTGCAGAAGTGTCTGCTTTATGCATTTCTTCTTGTCTGCCTTGTTCAATGAAGCAAAATCATAAACACTTTTCCCAAGTGGGTGAACCACTCGCAGAAGGTGGAAAGCACTGCTGTTATTTTCCCTGCCATATGCTCCCGAGACAGTTCCCAGCTCTGCATCAGATTATCCACGAGTCCAGATGCTCCATCATCCGTTGCCACCTGAAATGCTGAATTCAAAGATCTGTTTGCATGGCATGGGTGCCCAGAGCCTGGAGGGACTTGGATGTGAACACAAAGATCTTGTAATTATTGCAACTGTGAACAAATGTTCAAAAAAAAATGACCGTTCCTTGTTATCCATGCAGGGATCTGAGCTGCTTAGAAGAAACCAAAACAAAAATGCACATGGTTGCTGCATTTTTGCCCTCTTTCAGCAACAAACCTCTCGTAGAAGTGTCAGCAGTTTAACCACAAAACCTGCAGCCTGCTCAGCCTGGGGGGTTGTGGAAGTTCAAGGGGGGGTGATGCTGTCAATAACATGCTGAGCAACATTCATTTCCTGCAACCAGGTCTTCATTTAAAGGGGAAGGGGAAAAAAAAAAAATGATCCAGCAGCAGCTGTAATCTCTTAAAATGCTAATGCCCCATTTCCAAAGACCATTTGAGGCACTCATGCTTGCAAGCATCTATGGACACGTATTCTCAAATGTACTGTTTGTGCTGCTCCTCTCTTAGGCATCCAGGATTTGCTGCTTGGTGGTAACTGGGGTGCCAAGACATTTCTTTGGAAGATAATGAGAACATCTGCTGCTTCAGCAGCAGAACAAAATACAGCCTCAAACAACAGGGACAGGAATAAGCAAACCAGCTCACTCCAAAGCAGTCGGGAAGATGTTTCCCCAGGGAGCAAAGAAAAGCCCAGGACTGAAAGATCTTTCTGCTGATGTCCAAGGAGCTGCCCCTGGCCAGGGTGCTGTGTGCTCAGCACCTGCCTCCCCTTGCAGACCCCAGAGCTGCCTCCTGCCTCTCCACCTGGCAGCATCTCAGGAGGGCCCAAGCTCTCTGTTAACTGCAGAACACTCAGGACTTCTGGAGCCTGACAGAGTCTTATTCTCCAGAGCTGAAGATGCCAAACTCACGCTGTCAACACTGCACTACGAAGGCTGCAAGGCTCTGCACTGGGGGTGTGTGGGGAACTGCATCACAGTGGTGTGTGTCCCCACATCTGGCTGTTAAAATGTGGAGAATTGCCTCAAGACCTTCTTCTAAGGCAAGGAGGAGAGGATTTGGGCCGCTGCCCAGCATTTCCCAGTAACCAACCCCACGGCAAAGGCTGCAAAACTATACACTGTGCATTAGTGGGAGATGTGAGTAAGTGTCCACTTCCTCTCCATCCCACAACCGCTGAGGCTTAGCAGCTTCATCTGACGGGTTTGGGCTTCATTAGCACAAATGAGCATGTTCTGAGCAGAATCCCAGAGTGGCCTACACAGCACGGACTCTCCAAGCGTTTTGGCAGGGCTCTTGTAAAGGATGCAGCATGCAGGAGCTGAGCAGGGCAGCGTGGGGGAGAGGGTGAAGCCACAAAGCCACGTTGCTCTGGGAAGTCGAGTGCTGCTGCAGGAGCAGGTGACAATTCTCCTTCTTGAAACTGCAGCTTCTGCAGCAAAGGAGCCTCTCAGAAGAAACATGACATGAACGTTTGGGTGGAGATCGAAACCTCGGGGACTGCGAAGCCAGTACTCACCAACGGAGCAAATGTCTGTGAAATGGTCCTCACCTTCTTCAGCATGAATCAGGTCGTTTTTGCTCTTCTTTATTGCAGCTCTTTTCAACACTGTGTGCAAATTAAAGAGAAAAGGCCCTGTGAGCATTCAGAGGGGTTTCTCTCTCCCCCTCCCTTCACACTCCAGGGCCAGCATTTACTTCCCAACGCCAGCTTAAAGCTCTCACAGGAGGGTAAGCAGAGCAAATGAGACGACCTACAACCTTCCAGGGCCTCTGCATGCTTTGATGCCAGGGTTGTTTATTTACTTGACCTTCCAGATCTTGAAGGTTTGCCAGGCACAGGTCTGCATGCTTACGCTTCACCCCGGCAGGCGCGGGAGGGTGGGGGAGTCACTGCAGCTGCTGGACCTTTTAGCACAGCAGAAAGGCTGGGCAGGGTCACTGAATCTTTCTGAGCCCCAGTGGGTTATGAGATGAGTGCTCCTATCCATTAAAAACATTAATGCTGTTTACAGTGTGCACCATTAAGGAGTCAGCGTTTATGGGGCTCGGATGCAGTTGGCCACAGAGCAATGCCTCAAGGAGCAGAAATGCCACGTCGAGAGCAACTGCAACAAATCAGTGCACGTAGCCTTAATAGCACCCACTGTACCATTCCTTCCCTCTGGGGATGTCATAACTCTTTGAAAACACACTTTGCCTAACTGCAGCTTTTGTGGGGAGGGCAAACATTGCTACAGCGTCGTACTCAACAGGGAAAGAGAACTTCAGCCTAAGGCTTGGAGAGGTCTGCACCGTTCACCAGGAACAGCGTGGGCACTGCTCCCGTCACCACCTACCTGCAAAACCTTGAGAACTAGCAGAAAAAAATAGGTTGATACAGTTTTGTAACAGCTTCAAGACATACAGTAACTAAGCACCATTTTCTATCAGCAGTAAGACACCCCACGGTGTGGTGATACATACTGGTCAGTAGGCACACACAGCAAACCCACTCACTCTGCAGAGACTGCCCGGGGGTAGGGTCACGTGAGAGGATCCCCTCACCCTACACAGATTTCCCTGCCTGGACAGAGAAATGGATGTGCTTCTTCCTCCACAGCTAAGACAAGTGGTAGTGCTTTTGTCACGTCAAGGAAACACCCAGAACATCACCCAGGTTCGGAGAGGCTCAAAGAGAGGATGCTCTAAACCTGTGGTCCATTTTTTTTGTGGGTAGACGTTTTTGCTCTTTTCTTCCCCACCTGGCAGTAGGCTGAATCCTCAGTCCCAGCAATACCAGCTTTTGGTCCTTCAGGCTGCATCTGTCCCAGTACACTCCAGCATGTCCAGGGCCATCCCCAGCACTGGAACATAACAAACCCTGGGAGTAAAGTTTTACAACACTCCCTGGCATGAATTGAGCACCTTCTTCTTTATCTTCTACCCCAAGAAACTCCTGCACGTGTTTAGCAGTTAGGCTGTGCCATCTCTACAGGCACATCCTCCTCTTTTGGAGACTAAGACCATGTAGCAGTGTAGACGTGGGCTGCTCCTTACCAGTTGGCTTCAAGACTGGGAACGTTGCTGGGCTCTTTTAGCTTCCTAGCATAAAGGGAGCCTTAGTATACCTGGGTCTTTACTCCATGGCCTGCATCCACCTCTAGTTCACTTGCATCACTCAGCTTTTCGGACTACTCTTCCAGACACTCATTCCAGCTCGAGGCCGACATCCCTGGCTGCACCCACGTGCTGGACAGACTTCCCCAGTGCACACACACACACACAGCCACAGACACACACGAAGATTTGCCAAGCACACCTCAGCCCTGACCTTCTTCAGCCCCAGCTCTTCCATCCCCAAGTCCTCCTCGAGCACAGGTCACCGGGTTGGCCAAGGTGGGCCAAGATCCAAGCACCCGATGCCCCAACGAGCTGCTCGGCTCGGAGCAAGGTGCAAAACCACCCGGGAAAGCGTCAGCGGTGACCCGGGCACGTGGGGCTGCGGGGGAGAAGCACTGTCCCACTGTGCCACCTAAGCCCCTGGTGATTTGCAATCCACTCACTGTTGTAGCTGCTGCCCCTGCTAGTCTCCGCCCGTGCCGTGCCTTGTTGAATCGGCCCTTCCGAGGCGGCCCTCCCTGACAGTGAATGGGAGGAGAAAAAAAAAGAGGAGGGAAAGGGAGGGGAGGGGAAAGGAGGAGACATGGGAGGACGAAAGATGGTCAGAAAAGGGAGAGGGAAGAATCTTTAACTGAACTTTGACCGGCTGTCGCGTCCTAAGAGCTCAATCAGTCTGGAGGCACAGGGAGAGCAGCCCCCGCAGCCCCGCTGCGCCTGCAGCTCGGCACCTCCGGCCATCCTGCCTAGGGTCACACGTTGGAAGGTAGGATCACCACACCCTGTTATGTCTTACTGCTTACAAGTAACAGGGGTCTTAGTCTCTTTGTCAAATCCGTTTTGGAAGCCTCGGTTCGGAGCCCTGCCTGCTCTGGGTCAGTGCGTTTCTCTTCTGGCATCCTCTGGGCAGCCTGCCCCCAGCACAGCCTGTGTGCAGGCTCACCCGGCCGTGCTGGGCAGAGGCTGGCAGGGTCCCCATCACCCTGCGGCCCCGCAGGCAGCCTCGGGACCCACGGACCCCAAGGGCAGATCCCCATCCCAGAGCGGGGTGTCGCGCGACTGCTCCTCGTCCACCTGCAGCCTCAGAAAGACCCGAGATGGGAGAAGGGATTCTTGAGCCTGACTTAGGCCAAGTGCATGCAGGAGCGTGTTCCTCACGCCCTCCTGGGTACAATGGAAAGCCATGTCAGCGTGCAGCAGGTGAACATCTCACATATCACAGGAGGAAAACTGCACAGCAAAATGACCTACCGTCCAGAGGAGATTTCTCTTCTGCGTTCTTGTCTTCCTCTGCCAGCATGACCTCCTCTGCAAAAGGAAAAATAGCAAGGTTCAACCTCAGATTTGTCATGTCCCTGCTCCAAAACCAGCTGAGCTGGCTGCAGTAGGCACCTGTCCCAGTTGCCACCAACCTTACCCCATTGCATCACCCAGTTACACCAAGTCTGTGGAGGAAGGGGTGGCTCAGGGAGCCGTGTTTCTTACCCCTGGAAGACTGTAGCACCTCCTCAATGATTTTCCTCTTCACAGCCAACCACCCACTCCAGTTTCTTTACCCAGCTAAAGATTTCTTTACCCATCCTCAAGGGACTTCTGGAGACCAAGAACCTTCCAGCAGACCCACACAAGACCACAGGTCTCCACAAACCAGAGGATAGTCTCTCATGCCCAGCTATATTTGAGACACTGTTTGAGGAGTGAAAGATGCTTTACACTCATTGCTACTCTCCTGTCTCCATCAGTAAGACCAGGACTCGCCCTTTGGGAAATGGATTCTCTGTCTCATGGCTCATGGGTAACACAAGCAGGGCCAGCTGCTGCATGTCACCTGTGTCACATTGCAGGAGACAATGTCACCAAATAGCCATCACATCGGGTCTTCGCCCAATTAAAATCCACAGCAAAGTTTCCAGAGGGGAGTTCTGACTAGCACAGTCCAGGTTGTGCAATATGTGCAAGAGCATCACCATTGCTTTTCCATTCCTCTACAACTCGTCACTAAGATACAAATTTATACTTTCCTACAGTAAAAGAATTCAGAAAAAAAAAATAAATCCCAAAACTGACTCATTTTTATCTGCGTGAAAGACAATGAAATTTCCTGAGGTTTCCCAGTGTAAATGTCACCACCCAAGTCAATTTGCAGTACATGCCACACTCTGCCAATACTTAAAACCATCCAGTTCATACGGCCTGAACCACAGATTTCAGCTGGCTGCTGTAAAATTACGTGAGGATTTTCTAAAAGATGATCTAAAGCAAACAAAAAATATTGAGTTGGCAGCTGGTAAACTCTGCACTTCCTTGGACTATCATAAATGACAAGTTCTTTCACGTATTTGGCATAGATGTAATTTGGGATCCCATTAAAACATCTGACATTGTGTTCCCACAAAAATTTTGCTTTAAAGTCCATTTAAACCAGCCTAGATGGAAGGCTAATGAAAAAGAAAAGAAAAAAACAACCCAAAACACAAACAACCCACAGGCCAAACATCAAAGCGTGTAGCTGAATGCTGTCTAGAAGAATACTAGAGGGATCAGCACCACCACGCCAGCCTTATATAATCTCTTTATTAATCATCTGGGAGAGAGAGCAAATGATACAGTAATAAGACAGCAAACTGAGAAGGCTGAAAAATAATATCCAGAATTGGAGAAAACTGGAAACACAAGCAGAGGAGAACAAAATAGGAAAGTGCAAACTAGTGCACCTGAGATGGTTAAACATGTCAGGTGAGTTACAGATCTGTACTTTAAAAGGCATGAAATCCTTCCAAAAGTCCACAAACCAATAAAATTCAGGGTTTTTTCTAAGTTTCCTTAAGACAGGTCAGAAAAGTGAAATTGGCTTTTTTAGACAGCTCAAAAGTTTTCTCCCTCAACCCACACCTCAGAAGCCAAAATGTTCTTCCAAAGCCTTGCCCAGGGAAACACTGTATGAGTGTTTGGGGGCCAAAAATGTGCTTAAAACATTTAAACAGCAACTAACAATGAACATGACTGCCCTAAAACACAGAGAAAACATGGGTTAGACACAGACACCCAAAGGCAAGCTGGACAAAAAGCCTGCACACATGAAACACAAAGCAGACCCATGCTGGAAGGAGCATGAGCTTGAGATGTTATTACAGTGACATTTTCCTATAGGTTAGTTTTAAATCCTACATTGCTCATGGACTGTGATTTTAAAAGCTATACATGATATCTGAAGGTGATATACCCACAACACTGCACAGGACCCTCCATAAATGAGTTTAGCTCCTAGTACTGGTAGAATCAAGAGTCCACGCAGAAGTTTCTGCTCTCTTCTGAATTTGGGGATTAGTTCAGCCATCAGTACTTTGGGGTTCTCCATTTTGTGTTCCTCTGCACAATGTAGATGTGGCTTCTTCCTGTGCTACAAACAAGCAAATTCCACTGAAAATTCAAATCCATTTGGAGTGGAGTGGATATTGAGGTCTCACAACAAAGAGCAAGCACAGGAGTGTGAGCATATCCCAGAGGTGCTCTTCTGTCACTCCCAGAAAGAAAATCTGACTTTTAGATGACTTTTGGTAATTAAATGGACTAACACCAGTTACTGCAGGGAGCAGACATTCTGTCATGCAGGTGATGAGCAAGAAAATACTGAGCGAGCAAAGGTGAGAAGACAGGCAGCTGATCTTCAGGGGTCACACCCAGGGGAGTGAAATGCAGGAGAGCTGGATCTGCAGAAGGAAGATCTCAGCAACAGCCATCACGGCTGCTGGCCACTGCTCTGAGGGTTGATGGTCTCAGTCACTGCTTGTAAAGAAGCAGTAAAGCACTCCAGGAAAGAAAGAACCTATGCACTTAGCTGGAATCTGAGCTCTGTATTTGATTTGTACCAGTGCAGGAGGAAAACCATTGTACTGGTTCCTTTCAAAGATCGCTGCCTAGGAAAAAGATATTCTTCATTCCCCTTGAATCCCAAAAGCCTCATGTTTTGCTTGACAACATTGCTCTAACAACTTGTTTGACCAATGACCTTCCACCATCCTTTGGGCAGGAGAGGAGGAACAATCCCAAGTCCCCACATTGCCTCTGGGGACTGTGAACTGTATGGATCCATCATCACTGTGATTTTCAATGGTGTGCTGATGCCAGCTGACGTTCCAGTGTCACCCGTGTCCCTCCCCTTGATTCCCAACAGCCTCATGTTTTGCATGTTCCTCTAACAACTTGTAACAACCTTCCACCATCCTTTGGGCAGGAGAGGAGGAACAATCCCAAGTCCCCACGTTGCCTCTGGGGACTGTGAACTGTATGGATCCATCATCACTGTGATTTTCAATGGTGTGCTGATGCCAGCTGACGTTCCAGTGTCACCCGTGTCCCCACAGTCAGACTGGTGAGAGTTTTGGCCACACTGAGCCTTCAGAAACCAGACTGATAAATGTCCACAGAACCTCAGAATTTGTCAGATGGGACAACTTGGTATCAGAGTATTTTCACCTATAAAGTACACGCTTTTCTGAGACAGCTCTGCAAAGTAGCTGAGCCTTTGCCTCAAATTCAGGGCTTGGAGTGGATGCCTAAACATATCTTAACTCTCCAGGGCTCAGTTTTACTGCTCCTTAAAAATAAACAAAATGCAAGTTTCATGTAGGCAATTCCCTCAAGCCCAACCAAGCCCAGTTCTCTCCCTTGACAGCCACTCCTGCCTCTCTTGCATCCTCTGGGAAACCAAAGGACCACATCCACCCTAGTGGGGCTTTACATGGTTATTAAAGCCTGCTAAAAAGACAGCTCAGCAGGCTAGTCATCATGGCAAGGACTGTTTTTAAGCAAACAGCATCCTAAGCAAAGGATCAGGAGTTGTATTGCCTTTAGTCATCACTGTAAACAGAGACTAGAAGAAGATAATTAGTAAGTCTGACAAGGCTCCAAACAACAATGCCTCTGCACTGGAAGAAACAGTCAACACAGAGACAAGTATCAAATCAGCAACTTCTAGCCTCCAAACAGAGGCACAGGGGCCTCACTGGGATATCAGTAAGAGGTGTCTCAGCATAAGATTAATTGTTGATCAAGTACTGACAACACATAGAATGTTTTACAGGAAGGGGAATAAAGGCAAGCTTTACCCCAAGGAACTGGCAAGCTGAACAGCACAGGAAAAGCAGCAGAGAAACATGGTGCCCCTTCTTCTCTTTGGCATGGGCAGATAGGACATTGTCAGCTCAAAAGAGGAGCAGGAAATAACTCCTGTTCAACAGGTAACAGAAGTTGGAGAAAAGAAAAGACAACTGAATTTAACTAGTGAAGTTTCAAACTTGATAAATAAACAAAAAAAAAAAAGTATCCCCTAGAAGAAGCCACCACACTCTCACAGGGAACCCTAACTTGCCTTTCTGGCAGTTATCCTCCACTGCCACCTCACACACATAGCTGCCCTTTCACATTGATGTAGGAGTCTTTTTTCCCAGCTCTCTCAAGGGGCCTGTTGCTGTTTCTTCTCCAGAAAGCTGAAACTTGAGGTCCACAGAGCTTTGTCGTGTCAAGGAATGACATTCAGGTTACAGCAAGCTGGAAGGGAGAGGTTAAACCCATGCCCAAAGCCTACTTACTACAGGAGGAAACCACTCAGAACGAGAGCTGTGTGAAAGAGATGGGCTTGGGAAGAATTAAAATGCAGAAGACATGCAACTTGATTAGCTCCAAGCTGAAAGACTCCCAGTCTCTGAGCAAAGTGTTTTCAAAATGATGCATGTCCTTGTAAGATAAGAGAAACATCTTCAAAAGAATATTTGTGAGCTTGTAAGTGCTTTACTCTGCACAGAGAACTTCTCTTTCTCCCCTCTCCATTGGATGTGCAGCACCCCAGCCTAAGAATTGCCACAATTTTGGGGAGTTTAATGGAGAAAGCAGCGGTGGGAAAATCATTTTGCAGGGGTTACCTTGCTTGGCTTCACCACATTTTAATTCCTCTGAAAGGCATGATTTCAAGTTGACTTGCTCCTGCCTTCACACAGAGCCCAAGGAAAACATGAAATGAGGAGCAGAACCTGTCCCAGAACACAGTGGGTGCAACAAGAAGGGGACTGCTCGTCACCAACAAGACTTGATTTGATACTGGTTGAATGAAAGAAGAGGTTTTGGGGGAAGAGAGCTGTTGACTTGGGCCTAGAGAGACACCACAGCATGAAGCATGGCTGAATTCTTGTGGTGGAAAGAGCTGTTCACTTTAAAGAATTTACTGAGAAACAGAGAGTTGACCTGACTCTTCAAGATTAAATTTAAGATTACAAGTCTAACTGATTCATACAGTTCACTTCCAAGTGACCCAGAGAGTCAATGTTTACGAGCTTGACATACCAATTACCATAAAAATGTTTGGCCTAAATTCTCTGAGGTGCAAGAAATTATAGGATTTGATTATTGCTTCTGGCCTGTAACTTGTACCAGTTTTATAAGATTGGAAATCTTAGATTTGGAGACACTTACAGAGCTGTAAGCCATTTAAGGTGTCACAACATTTTTTTTCTTGACATCCTCAAAGCAGCTCTGCTGAGATACAGTTTTCCTTGCTTAGTCTTGCCTCATGATGTGGGAATTTTACTTGAAAGCACCCGTTATCTCATTTGAAAATATTTAAAGCCTCCTGACTAACCTATGTATTCATTCTTCAACATGCACCTGAGATACAACAAAGGCAGGAACTTCTCTCTGTATAAGCCTAGTGAAGGAAACTGGTCAGACTATAGGTCGATTTTTTTTCTTTCAAGTCATGCACATCGAATTTCAGCACTTCAGCACATTATCTGTGCTGTAGTTTTCTCTTTCATTCCCCAGCCCTTTGTTAAGAAGGCATTTGTTAAGCATTTCATCAATTAAGGCTTCCTGTATTAACTCACACAAGTATTTGCACGTGAAGGTGGTCACTGTTTAAACCACCTTGGTCTAGATCCCTCAGGCAGATATGCTGCTGAGTGCATTAGAGAACCCACGTTGAAACCAGCCTGAGCTATGTTTGCATCAGGTCCAACCACAACTGCACTTCTGGTGATTTATTAACAGTGACCTGGCACCAAAATCTTTCAGCTGTGCCAAGGTACCTCCTTGAAAATTTCACAAGCACTTTTTATTAATAAATTTTCTGCCTTTTCATGCTCTTACTTTACTGCTGGGAAAAAAAAAAAAAAAAAAATTAAAGGAGCACCACTAAAAAAAAAAAGAGAAATGTAAAAGTCAGTTAAGTCAGGAGCCAGGCTATTAAAGAAGTTTCATTCTCACAACACAAATATAAGACAAGTCATTAGACCAGGTCTGGAACACGCTGGAGTCAGCATTTCAAAGGTGAAAAACAAAGCTGCATTGTTTTCCTCTGGAGGACTGAACAGTCCACAGCTTCAGCATAAGAAAGGATGGATAATAACCCCCAAATTTTGTCTGAACCATCTTTTTAATGCAATATACAGCAAGAGATAAACTAATGATTCAGATTACAAATAGCTCAGGCTGTGAGAAACTTTAAAGACACTCAAGAGGGGTCAATAAATGTTAAATTAAAACCACTGTTGACAAATGGGAGGCAGTGTACAGGTGAAGGGATGATTTCAGTCACCCAATTGCTCTTCTTAGTCCTAAACCAGTTGTAGCCCTGGAGGTCAAAACTTGAGCACTGCCAAGAACAAGAAAATCTCCTTTCCACCTCCAGCAACTACTCAGAATATCTAAAACATCGCAGAGCAAAAACAATCAGGTTAAGTATGAAGATGCCATTGTATGAATCACTGGAATGCAGCTTTCCACTCTTCCTACCTTGCATCCAAAATAAATGAAGAAGAAAAATGAACAAACAAAATGCTTAGGGAGGATACTGTAAATATGGGAAGCCTGGAGAGCCTTCCATGGGAAGAGAGGGGATTGAGCAGATTGGTTCTGCATGCTTCAGAGCATGAAAACAAGATGAGACAAGGCAGAGAGAGATTAGAGAAAGGAAAGTAGTAAAAAGAAATAAGACATGTGCTCCTGAGCTCTTCCTCTGGCTGTGGAAAGGCAATTAGGGTTTGGGTGTTAAAATCCAACCAACTGTTAACACGTGGAACTCCTCGCTACAAGATTCAGTGAGGTCAAGGATACTAGAGGGATTTAAAAACAATTAGATATTCACATCGATAATAAAATCCTCCAGAGTTACCTCGGAGCAGAGTACTAAGAGCTTTTGCTCCTTCTTTTATGCAAAGAGGTTATTCCAGCTCGCTGCCTGGGGCTGTGGCAAGAGATTTCTGTGCAGGCTGGGCTCTCTGGGACTGTCCTCCCTGGCTTTTTTCCTACCCCCACCCAAGCAGTTTGCTTTGGCCACTGTCCCACACAGAGTCCTGGACAAGGGAGACTGGTTATCTAGTTCAGAAATTCATGGTCATTTCATAGCTGAAATTCTGCCCTCTAAAACAGAATCAGGAGACACCCATCAATGGCACAGTCCCAGATTTCAGGGCCTGAATTCTAACCACTCGAATCTCTCTTGATTAACCTTCACACTACCTTTTGTAGTGAAAGATTTACTCACACTGGTAAGTTCATTTTAATTACTGTCATTATTCAGCTGTAGTAGGAAGCCTTTTCATATTCCTATTGTATTTTCAACAATGTCGTTGCAGGATATTTTTATTATTCCCTGATTCAGCTATTTTGCAGACACTTTCCTGTTCCAGAAAACCTTCTGGAACTTCTGTCATTAGACAAAATAAAAAGATGGGCATTTTACAGCAGTTTCACTCTGTACTGATGTGGCATTTACTGGCAACCCAGAAATAGAACAGCCAGACATTCCCAGGGGCATGCAAAGTGGGAGCAGAGATTGGCTCTGTGGTTTAGAACTTCTCCACCTCAACTTTCTGACAAGTTCAGCTAACGACCTCTGCATAGCTCTTCCTGGCAGAAGGGTCACCATAATGAAACAAAGCAACCCACATGCCTGCAAGGGAATTCTCATCTTTATTTTACTGATGGGGAGACCAGGGTTTAGAGACCAAGACATCCTGAGAGCCTTAAAAGCAAGAAGGCACCAGAGCTGAGGGAGAGCCCTGGAGCACTCTGCTCCAGCCACTGGATAAACAATTAATTATTTTGAATTTGAGGTAGCACAAAAGCTGTAAACAAATGGGAAGACAGACTATAAATGGAAAGTGAATTATTTGGGGTTTGAATTCTACAGAACCACGGAATGAAGTGTGGTTACCCAGCTGAGGACAGTTGCTGTGGAACAGTCACAGTGAATAAAAGTCCATCAATACATCTGGCACTCAGTTGTCTCTCTGATGAGTGCTATGGGAAATAATGGGCTCAGGCCACCATACAAACTACTTCTGCTTCTTGCTATTTTACATTTTGAGGCTTCAGCCTTTTTCCTCTCTGGCCAAGCTGCCAAAACTCATGCCCAGACCATGGCTCTTGGGGACATCCACTTTTTTGTCTCTGGTTAAGTTGCCAAAACTCATGCCCAGACCATGGCTCTTGGGGACATCCTGCAGCCACCCCTCTACCCCCTGCTCTCAGGAGACCTGAGCAGGGCAGAGCCCTGCTCCCTTGGGCACAGGCTGGTAGAGAGAGCACTGCAGAGGAGAAAGCAGGAGCCCTGTGAAAATGCTCTTCCAAACACTGGCACCCAGGCTGTGTACACCAAACAGAAGCTGTAAATCCAGACAGAGTCACTTAGGTGCAGAACAGCACCAGGATGCTCTGGCCCCTGGCTCCTACACAGCTTGTGCACGTGCAGTGCTGCAACGAGTTGCTGTGGCCACACAATCCTGGAGCATCAGCATGGATTTCAAAACAAGAAATGGTGACATGGGCTTTAGCATGGTGCCAACCCACATTTAGGAGCATCTCAGAGTGCCAGTTCTGCCACTGGTCTATCAGATGACATCAGGAGAATCACTATATAACATTGGACCTCAGCTCCCCTTTTTCTAAAGGGATAAGGATGAAGCTGACCTGCCTAGAAAAGGTGCCTGAAAATCTATTTGAGAAGCTATCACATCTTTTTCTCCCCATCATTGTTTTAAAGGGCATTATTTTCACATTTCACCTTCTCAGAAGAGCAGATAAGGGAGTAAATTAGCCCCAGAAGTTTTCTTCATGCTATGTGAATGAATTGCACTGTGGCTATGTATATATATATAAGCTACTCCATAACACAGAAAGGTTATTAGTAATCTTTACTGTCCAATAAAAAAGAACAGTAAAGCATGCTCTTTTTTGTTAAATTAGTGCATTCGGGTCATTGTTAAAGTTGCTCACGGCTTGCAATAAAGTGCAATGTTCAGTTCTAATAGTTATAAAGCAATTTTAATATGTGCTGGGGTGAGTTTCACACAAGTGATCTCTGTAGCTCATAAAAATGACACTCCAGTGTATTTTACCATCGTAGCAAGAGAGGCTTATAAAACAGCTGTGGTGGAAAGTAAATAAAATATAAATGACTCATATAAGGGAACAGTTTCCCCACTGTGGAGACTCTGGGCACTGTATCACTTTTTATATTATACTGTATTAAGACAATTGCTTTGATGTCAGCAATAAGAAAGTTGGCTCAGCTCCTTTACTTTTGCTTAACCAAACTGAGAGTTTTCTGCAGTAACTTCAGTCTGACCACTGAGAAACGAGCCCAACAAAAAACCAGCGTTCCCTCAATGGGCAGCAACAGCAAGGACTAGTTCTGAGGCCCTTGGGTTCTCTGATCACCAGACTCTACTTGCCACAAAACATAGAGAAGCAAGGTGAGGAGACCTCTTGCCTTACCTGCTTTGAAGATCCACTCCAGGTACCCGTTCAGCTCCCGTTCAATTTGCTGCTGCCTGCGGAGCTTCAGGAAAGCTCGGCGGTTTTCCACCCTCTCTCTTTCTTTGGCAAATTCACTGTGGAGAGAGAAGAATGAGAAAGCACATGTCAGTGGTCAGGGAAAACACACAGCCCTTCTTTTGTCCTTCAGCTTGTGCTCGTGAAGCTTGTGAAGTCGTTGACAGCAGGAGTGAGTGGAAAGCACAGCAAGCTACATGTTCTTGTCCAGCTAGCTGCTGCTTTGGTTGTAGCTCGGCTGTTTCTCTGCCTCTCCCATCCTGAAAGAGAACTGCAGATGAGATCCTGACACACAACCACACGCACCTGCCCAGTCATGCAACACAAATCTTCATCCCCAACGCTAAAAACCCTCCTTCATCTCTCCACACCACAGCAGAACGTCCTCTAGAAGCACATTTATGTCACAGAGACACCAGCACTCTTGCTGTTGGAAGAGATCTACTCTTCCCTGCCAGCCTTTCAAGTTTTCCCAGCCTTAAGATGACTTAGACAAACACAAGTCAAACAAGTGCTACAAGTGAGGGTGGGTACTCTGGGCTCAAGGTGAAGTAGCCCAGATGCTCTGGGTGGAGGGTAACAACAATCCTGCTGTTTGCCCAAATCACATGGAAAGGAAGTATCTTAATAGCAAATCATGAGACAAGGACTGTGCAGGGGAGTCAAAGTCAAGTTCATCCAACCATTGCAAAAATCTTGTCCAGGTACATCCTACCAGTTACTTTGAAATGATGCTGAGACAACAGTGCAGCCACCACTTTAGGACACCTACATTGGGGCTTTCCCCAAGCTAATTTTTAATCTTCTGGGAAGCTTCTGATGCCCCACCTGGAGATGTATGTGCCCATCTACCATTTGTGGAGCTCTGAACCAGCCTCTGCAACCCTTGCTTTGAGCACACCCTGGAGTGACTCCCACAAGAGATTAATCTGTAGGGTTGAATATGGGATCAGGCTTCTGTCCCTCACATATACCAGAGGTTCACTCATTTTTTCACTTGACATCTTGACTCTTCTGTGTCCTTCAGATCCTCAGCTAACTGTAAATTGCTGCAAACCTGTAGTTAACTAAATTTCTTGAGTAAAATCTCACCTTGTGACCTGTTTGTTACCCGCACATGCTCCTGAAAAGCCAGCAAGCAGCAGGACATGCGGGGGGAAAGCAAACAAATGGGAGGAAAAGACCTGCAAGTGCCAGGGGCAGCTGTGTATTCACAGCCTACACTTTACCCTTCAAAGCTGATGCTTTTCCTTCACTTGGCAGGACCGTGTGACCCTCAGAGCAGGGACTGCAGGAGGAACTTGGCTCAGCACTGCGACGCACACGGGTACCAGCCACTCATGTGAGAGCTGCCAGCAGCTGAGCCCTTCGCTTGATTTTGGCAGCACATCCCAGTCTCCTGACTGCTGTCGCCTGTCCCCCACCTGACAGTACAGCCCATGCCCCCATCCTTGAAACAGAAGAGGCTGAAATGTTGCTCTGAACCAACATCTCCTCCTTGGCATGCAGCACATGTCTGCCGGGTGATTCGGGACCCTGCACGTGTCAAGTGGACCGTTGATCTTCTCCTCCTTCCCTTTTAATGTTCTCATTTCTGGTTCAATGCCTGCTGCCTGGGGCCATGGACCTCCTCTCAGGTTTGATTTCTCTCTGAAGGGGGAGAAATGAGATCAGACAGCACAAAGTGACAACACGCATTTAAATTGCTGGAGGTGGAGGGGCCACTCTTCCTGAGCTACAGGCTCAGGACACCAAAAAAACTGCCCAGAGCTGGGCTGCACTGGGTGGGAGCAGGAGGCAACACCCAGCAGGGAGCTTCATGAAGGACCACAGCAGGCAGCAAGGACAGCAGAGGAGCTGTGGCACTGCTCCCTCGCCCCCTAGGAACAGGCAAGTGAAAGATTTCCTCCAAAGCCTTTCATCCTCTGCCAGCTCCTATCTGGCCTAGGGAAAGTAAGAGCTACCTAAGACTTGTCCCTTTAATCTCAACTTGAAACGGGTACAGAAACAAGGGGGAGATTGTGCCAAGCTTCAAGCCTTCAGTAGTTTCTGTACAGCCACCCAACGCATGGGTTGAGGGATGTTGCTGAGGTTAAAGCCACTCGTGTCCTGTTCTCCAGAGCTGGAGGTTTGGCACTGCCACAGAAGCTGGGAAGGTAACTTCCAGGAGAAGACAGTACCTTGGGTCTCTACTCCTTGAGTGCCTTCTGAGTGCTACACAGCTAGAGCAAAACCATCCAGGTTGAAGACTGGAGGGTCCTGGTGTGTGGTTTTCCCAGCAAAGGAATGCATTGCTTGCTCTTTCTCCTGTCTCCAGGAGATGGGAAAGAGGTTTGATGAAGCTGGAACTTGTCAAAGGACTGTTTTTCTTTATGAAATGTATTAATAAAAGCATGTGTGTCTCTTCCTCTGGATTCATCACCGTACTGAAATAAAAATATTCCCCATTTGCAGCATCTGGAAAACTCCCAGAATTACTGTTTGAGAGCTTTTCAACAAAATTTCAGAACATACTCAAAGAAAAGGGGGGGGATATCCAAATGCTATATTTCATCTAAAAATATTTCAGCTGAAGTTTTCCTGCCAGTCCTAAACAAAAACACAGAAAGTCCCACAGAAATGTTTGGTAGCAGTAAATAAGCTTCCTCTTTTATTCAGCATAATTGCTATTTATGCCATTGACTTGCCAAAATCTCCCCAGTCACCAGGAAGGAAACCTGAGCAGGAAATATGCTGCATCCTACCCAGCTCTACCTCCAGGACTTTCTCCATGGCTGGTCCTTCACGCCTTGGGTCAGCTCAGGAATGAGTGATAACATTCACCCATCCTCATCCTTGGCTCTCCCCAACCACCACGTGCCTCAAAAGCCCTCCAAAATCATTCCTCTTCCAGCACTGTCTAGATTGGCAGTAGGAGGAGGAAAGCTGAGCACTCAATTCTCTACAGGCAGCACAACAACAGGAGACAAGGTTTTGGAGGAAGCCAAGCTCTGCCTGGGTAGGTGCCTACCACACATTTTACTTACAACATGATAGTCATGAATAACTGATTCTACAGAGACAGCAGGAACAAAGAGGAATCAAAGGAAGGGCATTCATCATGGGAATGAATGTCCCCAGGAAAATGGATGATTGTTGCTTATCACCTTGGTGGATGGAAGAGTGAAATACATCTCTGTGTAAATATGCACTGGAATAACCACTTCAGGGGAATTCAAGAGCCCCTTCAGCCACCAAAGACACAAGGTCAACTCATGAGTAACCACCAAGGTCAGTAAAACATTACAAACCAATGAAATTCTTACAAGTGCTTTATCCATGCTGGCCTTAAATTAAAAGTACTGTCACAGCAACCAAAAAGGGAAAACAAAAATAATAAGCAAACCTCAATCTTCATCCCTCGAGTCTCTGATTAACTTTCCTGCACGAAAGCATGGAGCTGAGATGTAGCATCATGTAATGCATCTCCTGGTCTTGGGTTTCATGGCCAATTCCCAGGGCCAGTGCCAGCAGGCCTGCTGCAAAACTAATCACACCATTAAACCTCTGTAATTCAGGTTTTCTGCTTAGAAAGCAGAGAGGAATGCTTCCCACTCACAGGGAAGAGGCAGAGAGAGAAGGCAGAGCATCACTGTCACTGCCACCACTAACAGTGCTCATGATTAGCCATTCATAATAGCAACATAGGTAATTAGCTCCTCATTCAGAATAATGCCACTGAGCTACCCATGATCTCATGAAAACTCAGATCTTAAAAAAGGGAAGAACACCCTTCATCTACTGAACCTAAAGCACTGTTCAGAGTGAGCAGAAAGCAGCACAGATCTCAGGAGGACTCCACCAGGGACTCCTGGAAAGCAGCTGCAAAAGACTTTTAGAATTTTAAGTCTAAAGAAAAACAACAAAGAAAAAAAACACCAATCAATTTTCAGCTTGGCTTCATCTCCAGTCCAAGTACGTCAAAGGACTGAGTAAAGTTGAGCCTGGATGGCATGTGGCATCTAGAGAGATGCATCTTCTGGAGGGATCCAGCCCTTGAGAATGGAGAGGAGCCAGATATTCAAGTGGGTGAGGTGCTGGCAAAGGAACCAGCCAGGACTGCAGATGTTTGACTGAGTTACTCACAGGCCAAAAGGAATTCTACAGGTGGAGAAACAAAATTGGCCAAGACAGGAGGCTGGATTTGTAAGCTTTGTTGCTTGAATGTGGAGCAGTGCCCAAGAAAGGGTTTGATACTTGTCAGCAGCTTGTTAAGCAGCCCACATGGCTCGGGAGCAGAGAGGGACGGGCTGGAGGTAGAAGATGGAAAACAGGAACTCATCTGGCTGCCTGACACACACTCTCCAATTCAGCCCTTCTACAACCAGCAAGGAAGGAACCTCAAAAAGAAACTTGGTGCCAATTATGCACCTGACTCCCAGCAAGCTTTCAGCAAGAGCAAGAATTTCCATAAGAGGCTGCAAAGGGACTCCAGAGATAAGAACAGGAGCTTGTAGCACCCGAGACATATGAACACACTGGATGGTAAGAAAAAAATACTATTTGCATTTTTCAGTAAAACCACATCTCTTGTGTTCTTGGAAGGCTGCTCAGGGGCTGTACATCACTTTTGAGATCCTCCAAGATGCCTTAGGGCAACTTCTCAGCACAGGGACTGCACACATCTCCAAGCCTCCCAGCATGCCGAGAGCATCCTCACGCAAGCAGAAGCACTTAATTGCCTTTTAAGTGTGGAAGTCCATTTCTTACTATTTATTTTGGTTAATCAACTATGAGAAGAAAATAAAAAGCCTTCAGTTATTTTTTTCCTTTCGATCTCAGGCCTGTTTCTGATGCTGGGGTTTGCCACCTTGCCCAAATCCAACCAAATCCCAAGTGCCTGGGTGAAGCCAGTCCCAATAACATGGTAGGCAGATTTCTGCTGAGCCAATCCTCCTTGTGCTCCTGCCATTCTGTAGGCCCTGCAGTATTTGTGTGAGTGTGTTTTCTGCCTCACACACAGAGTCCTGCAGAGCCCCTCCCTGCTTGCTTCACCATGGTCTGGTCCACTTCATACTCA